CAGTATCGACGAGCACAGCTGCAGGATGCTGGAGGAACGTGGTCTCGGGGGTGACATCATCCATGACCTGCCCTACATCTACCAGAACGTTTATCGCCTCAACTCACAAACTCTAAGCAGTGGTAAGCAGTGCCACTTATATTCGTTTGCACATATTAAATATACAGTAATTCATATTATACATACATATTCATATACATTTCAGAACTGATATCTGATCAAGGCGTCAAACCGGCTGCTCAGATGGAGAAGAATGAAATCTGTCTCCACTTCATAAGACGGAAATGCAAGTTCCAGGGTTGGTGTCCATTTCATCCACGTTACCTCTGCTAATCTCGTTTTCTTTAAGCCATTCACATTAGATTTAAGTTCAAATGGTTTTGTTTTATTGCTTCAGACCAGTGCGTTCTTGTCCACTTTAATCTTCCATACAAATGGGAGGTTGATGACGGGAAAGGCTGGAGGGATTTGAGAAACATGGAGGAAATAGAGAGAGCTTACTGTGACCCAAAGAATGAACACAGGTCAGTACAAATGCACATGCATGTGTTGGCTTAACATTTTTTTTTAGTGCTGGCAAATGATTAATCGCGATAAATACACGTTTTTGTTTGCATAATATATATGTGTGTGTATTATGTATATATAAATACACATGCAGCATATATTTTGAAAATATTTACATATATATATATTATATGTGTAAATATACAATATTTAATTTATATCATATATAAATATATTTAATATGTGTAACATTTTTCTTAAATATATACATGCATGTGTGTGTATTTATATATACATAATAAATATACAGTACACACACAAATATTATGTAAACAAAAACTTTAATTTTGGATGCGATTAATCGTTTGACAGCACTATTTATATTTTGCTATTTTATTGTTATTTTGTTTATTTTATTTTTATTCTAATTGGGGAACTTAATGGGGGTTGTATGTTTATTATTTGATCATTTATTTATTGCTTTTTATGGGCTTTCTCTTGAAATTGAATAACAAAAATATCAGAAAATAAAAAATTGTAACTGATTGTATATTGCATTAGCCGTGCAAAAATATTTATTTGTTTATTTTTTACATCATTCCCTATTCTATCCTTTCCAGTGTGAGTTTAGTATCATTGAGATACTATTATAGTTTTTCTCAATATTTTGGATTATTTTTGTTTTTTTCTGTTTAATTTTAGTTAAAGTTTCAATAATTTGTTATGTGTTTTGTCATTTTTAATAGTTTTTTATTTATTTATTTTTATTTGAGTCATTTTAGTACATCAAGTTGCCTTGGCAACTAGCTGAAATATAAATCTATATTTTAATATATTTCAGAAAAATTTTGTTATTTCAAGTAACAAATGTTTATGGTTTTAGTTTTAGTTGACTATAATGACACTGATTGCTTCTCTTGAATTTAGTCCAGGCTCGAGGCCGGTGTATTTTGGGTCCATGACTAGGAACCATGACCCTGTGCGCCGACTCTCAACGGTCTCTTCCGTCTCTAAACCCGCACACTACATCCTGACAACAGAGTGGATTTGGTACTACAAAGGAGATCATGAGAACTGGATAGAGTACGGTCAGCCGGTGAGACTGGATTGCAAACATACACTCATTTGAGAGAAATTTAAGGTCAGGTTGTGGTTTGGTTTCAAAATCTTTTTTCTTTAGGATGACAAGCAACGTGTGACGTCTGTAACTTCCCGAGAGCTGGAGAAAGCATTTCAGGAGGACAACAATGCAGAAGTTACTGTCATTAAGGGAAATAGGCATTACTATGTCAGTTTCCAAGGTACTACACATATAACAGGATTCCTGCGGTCATTGAAAATATTATTTTATATTATATTATTTGTAAGTATTTGACTGTTCTATTTTTACAGATATGTATCAAAGAAACCCCAAACACAACACAAAGAGGAGGGTGCGCAGACGACCATGCTTTGTGTCTATCAATGAGGTGGAGGCTAAAGCTGCCCAGTGACAGACCCACACACACAAACACACACTGTTTATGTACAAGAGGACTGACATTCAAATTATGAGTTACTGCTTAGGTTTTGTGTCACTTTTCAATTCATAATTTGAGGATATATAAATTAAATGCAAATGCTTTGTTTAAAATGATATTTAAGTAGTATTAATTTTAAAGGGGTCATATGATGCTGCTAAAAAAACATTATTTTGTGTATTTGGTGTAATGAAATGTGTTTATGCGGTTTAAGGTTCAAAAAACACATTATTTTCCACATACTGTACATTATTGTTTCTCCTCTATGCCCCGCCTTTCTGAAACGCGTCGATTTTTACAAAGCTCATCGGTCTGAAAAGTGAGGTGTGCTGTGATTGGCCAGCTATCCAGTGCGTTGTGATTGGCCGAATACCTCAAGCGTGTGACGGAAATGTTACGCCCCTTACTATATTATGATGATGCCATCAGGCCGGAGCGATGATTCAAAAACATGAAAACCCATTATAAACGAGGCATTCGTTGCATCCAGTGGGGACATAATTATGGATTATAATGACTTATACTGTCTTTTTACGCGTTGCGTTGCATCGCGCCGCGTAAACATAAAACCATGTCTGCATTTGTGATCTGAGAAATGACAAACAACAAGCCCTACTCTACACTGCCCAAAAAACTCGCTTTATATATATAAAATATAAAAACTCTTTAAATATAAAAAAACGTACTTACAGTCTTCGAGTCAGAACAGCCGGCATTGTAGTCTACTCTCCCAGGATCAGGAAACAGTCCTCCATAAAATGCGCTGCACACATCTGAATATTTGGGTTAAACTGTTCTGGAACAGTATTGTAAATACAACTTAACCACTGATTTCTAGTCGTGTCCTCTTTTGGAAGGCCAAACAAAGTAGTTTCGCTTTCACAACGAAACACACAGCGGCTTCCCAACATGGCGGCGGCAACAACAATACTACAGCGAGAATAAAAGTTACGCTTTCTTTCTTTGCGTGAACATTTGGGCGGCGTTAGGCAAATCTTCCCACATAGTGAGGTAGACCTGTGGGGGCGTGTTAGAACGAGCCGTTTTAGGAGGGCGTGGCTGACTCTTAACTTTTATAAAGAATATCTCTTTGGATTTGAGACTTTAGTCTTTGCAACTTTACAGATCTTCTTTATGCACCAAGAGCTTGTAACACTCCAAAGAGAAAGGAAAAATGTAAATCGCATCATATGACCTCTTTATTTTTAACCAAAATTGACCTGTCTTTGCCAAAAAAAAATTATGTGCTTATCATTTATTATAGCTCAAATAACTGCTCATAAGAGAGAGTCTTTCCTTCAAATTGACACATTTAGAGACTATGACTTTAGCATACTTTTAACTTTCTTTTTTCATGCCTGGATTTGTCTGGTGTGCCTTTAGTGAATGTGGTACCTTTGTGAGGTGATGTAGATCAACTCGTGAAGTATAAACTTGCACTTTTTTCCATATCATGTATTCATCAATAAACACTACCTGTTTTTCCTATTTAGTCATTCATTTGAATACAAAAAGGTCTCTTTTTTTCAGTTCTGCACGAAACAGTCATTGCAAGCATATACTAGTCAGCCTGGTGCCATTTTGGAGAATATCCACTGAATGCAAACAGCGTATGCTATTCTGTGTCAGCTGCGTCACGCAGATATGTTGTTTTCGTTCAGCTGATACTCTCCAAAATGGCACCAGGTGACGCGGAGGAGACGAATTGTTGAATAAAGTCGTTATTTTAGTTTTCTTTGCTACAAAAAGTATTCTCATAGCTTCGTAAAATTACGGTTGAACCACTGATGTCACATGGACTATTTTACCGATCTCCTTGCTACGTTTCTGGACCTTGATCGTGGTAATTACATCGCTGTCTATGGGAGGGTCACAGAGCTCTCAGAATTCATCAAAAATATCTTAAGTTGTGTTCCGAAGATGAACAGAGGTCGTAGGGGTTTAGAACTTTGAGTAATTAACGACAGCATTTTCGCTTTTGGGTGAACTAACCCTTTAATTTAGGTTAATTTGACCTCTAATCAATCTTTGAATAAATCAGGAATCTTTGAATATTTTCTTTGGCAAGCGTTGAGGGACGTGCCCAGTATACGATATGCTAATAATAATAATGCAATAATATAATTTTGTGCATTTTGCCTAATATGCTCCTTATCCACCAAACACTAGAATTATGTAAACACATCTCACTTTCTAGCGAGTCTCAAATGGTCAAATCTCCCTAAGGAGGGCCAAGAAAAGGTATGTAGGCTACCCTATTTAATATTATTACATAACTTATAAAAACCATGCTATTAGTATAGTAAAACCATGGTTACGTACTATAATAAAACCATGGTCAATTTCCGTAAGGGGTGTTTTGGCATTTTGATTATCATGGATAAAATATAGTTAATTTAATAAATCCATGGTTGATTTTAGTAAGGGACATACTGTTAATATGTTACTTTTTCAAACAACAGTTTCAGTGACAACAATAGTGACATAAAAAAAAGTTCGTAACAAAAATCGCTTTCGCGTGAGGAGGTAACCATAGCAACAGCTCAATCGCTGTAACAAACGGTACATCGACAAAAGCGCGTTATTAATTTATCATAGACTTGGCACAAATATATCATGATAAAGTTTGTTAGTGTTTTGTTTAAACGCGTTTAAGATAGTTGACGGTTAACTGCGCTAGAGGCGCCAAAAGAACATCGACGCGCGCCCAGAAAATTACTAACGTGACGTTAAACGAAATTTATGACCCTTCCGAAAGTAAATATAAACAAATAAAATAATAATTAACACTTCGCTCTGATATCTACGCTCAAGTCCTTAGCAAAATGTAAATAAGAAGAGCGTATGAGGCGTGTGAGGGTTACTAAAGGATCCTGCTGATAGCCAATGACAGTGTCTCCATTATTCTTTAGGTTTCTTATGAATAAATCCAAGGGGCGGGTCTTTGCCGAGCGCCGCAGATATCGAGCAGGCGTGTTTCTCCTCTGTGTAGTGTTAGTGTTTTATGCCGAAGACATGCGCTACTAGCAGTATCTTTTAGAAGCGGCTCACGTATTTATTTAAGCGGTGCAATTTGTCCAGCGTGTTTGGAGGGGATGGGATCTTGGGTAATGGGCCGTGCATGGGAACAGCAAGAACCGCTTCTTTACAATTAGATCTACACCGGATACCGGGAAATGAACCTCGCGCGAGCAGCGAGCTGGATACCGTCTATACGAGGAGCTGTCAGCATAAATATATGATATGTTTCATCTGATTTGATCCCTTGCATTGATAGCTTCGATATTCTCTATGTATGGCCGTTCTGTCATCATGATATCGGGTTTGTGAAGAGGCGCGCGCGTGAGCCGCATCCGCGCGAGGTGCATCTCAACATGACAGGTAACGAGAATGACTCCGATGTACGGTGCCATTCACCTTCTGTATCCTTGCATGTCAATGCCCATTTAAAAATACCGTAAATATGTGTCATATGATCTGGGTTCGGGGAGATCCTGCCGGTATGCGCGTCTGAAGATGCTGTTTTTCCATCTTTGACCCAGTGCATGCGCTTAGTCTGTTCCTACACCCGCCCTTTTCCATCTGTACTGCTATTTATCTGCTTCAGATCTATAGCTGTGTCTGTCTGACAAGATGCGCGCGATATTAACCTCACGGGAGCCATGGGCCGCGCGCACCGATGATCTGTCGTTATAACCTACATTCACACAGTGTGGATACTGTGACTTTATGGCGTTATAGGTTTGCACGGCATTGAAATACATGGAAATATACATGCTACGGAGGATGCATGTGTGATAAATAGATAGATAGTGGAACTGTATAGACCGTAAAATGATTTTTCAAGTTTTATTAACTATTTGTGAAATGTAGCCATTTCTGACTGAAAAATAGTTTCACTACCATTTTTTTAAGTAGAGATATATCAATAGAAAGTTAGATAGACAGACAAACTGAAAAAAATTGTTAAATTTTGGTCAAATTTACTAGCAATTTTTTTCAGGAGATAGATAGATAGATAATTTTCAGAGTTTATTATTCATTATTTGTGAAACTTACTAGCAATTTCTGATTGAAAATTGTATCTACCAATTTTTTAAGATGGGTAGATAGATAGAGCCGGTCTTATTTCACAAAATTTTGCTTTGAATGATATTTGTCATGTGAGTTTAGATAGCAATAAAACATTTGATTGAGAAAAAAAGCTAAAATACAGATTTAAACAAAAAAAGTAATTAATCTGACGTTGGAAGATTGAAAAAATATGTTATTTTAAAAACTTCAAGGTCATTTTGAAATCACAGACCTTTGATTGCAGACTTGACCAACTGGACACTGTTTGAGGCATTTCTCAGATCTTTTCTGAAACTTTTGACACTAACGTCTGGAGAAACATCTTCAGCCATTTGCTCTTGAATCTTCTTGTCTGTAGGACGACTGCAAAATATAAAATAAACAGTATATACAACATATTTCCCAAGATAATATATACACAGTATATCAGACTGATATATGCCAGTATTGGAACCTAAAAACCAACACACACACACACACATATATATATATATATATAGGATGATGGTGATGCCTTCAATTCATCCTACATAAAACCATGCAATGTGAAATTCAGCTTTATGTCTAACAGATTATGTGTTTCTTTTTCTCACAGCAACGTATAGAAAAGGAAGGATACCAAGCAGGAAGACCTGTGGCTATCCAGGAGACATTTTATCAGGGTCAGATGGCCTGTCTTGAATAAGAAACGTGCAAAAATGGAGAGCTCTGGTTCAAGGATGGTACTGAGGAGCTCGCGGCGACTGCTCGGATGTTGCACACTTCTGCTTGCCGCTGCGATGTTGGTGGGCTTCATGGCGACGTCTGGCACACCCGTTGCAGGTATCTCATCACAGAGTGCACTAAAAGTTTGGCTTAAGGCTGGTACTTTTGCTTTTTTTGTCACTTCCGTCACATTTCGTTTAGTTTCTGTGGACCTATTGTGAGTCAGTATCATAAAAAGCGAGTCTTTTTCATCACAGATGATTTGAACGTCAGAGGAACGGTGGGCGTATGTTTGAGTGATTCTCTCTTTGTGTGAATGACGTGTGTCACAGTTAGAGGTGAAGAATGAATGGGATTCACAGTTAATTGTATTGAGATGTGTGTGAGACAGATTCTACATTGAAGAAAGCACATATCTACCCACAGAGTGAATTCTTAAAATGAAAATACCTCGAAGTGACATGCTGACTATACAGATTAGACATGGTTGGCTTAGTTCTTGCTTGGCACTAATGAAGGACCTTTAACATCCATAGAACCTTTCCATTGCATAAAAGGTTCTTTAAATCAGCTGTATATATCTATATCTATATCTATCTCTCTCCCTCTCTCTCTATATATATATATATATAAAGAGAGAGAGAGATATAGATATTATTTAAGAAGCAAAATGGCAGTTAATAAGTCTTGTTTTCTGAAAAACATTATCAAAATTAAGTGAGTTTAAATAACTAAAATATCTGCCAATGGGGTAAGAAAAATAAACTTAATTCAAAGGAAAACTATTTAATTTTTCTTATCCCATTGGCAGATTTTATTTCTTATTGTGATCATAAACCTTTTCATTAAATCACAAAATTTTGATAATTAGTTAATAGTTCATATTTAAATAATTTAACAACACATTCACATGTTCACTGTTCTCAATAATAATGTCAATACTAATAATTAGTAGTAGTAGCAGTAGTAATAATAATAGTATTTATAATTTATAAGTATTTATTATTATACTCTAATTATAAAAAATAAAGACAAATATATTACGGTTGTAAAATTACAATTGTACTGTAAAATAAAAACGGAATACTTGATAATTATAATAATTAAATGTGACTATAGGGTTATTTAATTGGACTAATGTTATTAAACTAAATTGCAACCTTTGATTTCGATATTGCAATAAGCTAATAATCACACAGCCCCATTTATTTATTTTAATTTATTTTAATTACATTTTTATTATGACCAGACCTGTTAGAGACAATGTCTAAGCCATTAAGCCCCCCATTTTAAAACCCATATTAATTTAATTTAATTTAATATTATATTATATAAATACTAAAATATGAATAATTACTAAAATATGAGTTTTACATTTAGCTTTTTATCAACTTACAAACCCCAGTTAATGGAAAAATGCTTCTTTTAAGAACCATTCATTAAAAGGTTCTTTTAAGAACCCAAAATGGTTCTTCTAACACAGAAATCTCCCTTTTGGAAGCTTTATTTTTAAGATAGTCGCTCAGTAACTGGAGACAGCAGGCTGATTACCGTGAGCGTATTTACGCTGGTTCCACATCACTGTAAGATACACACACACACACACGCGCATCCCAGACAGATGGATGAGAGTGTCTCAAAGCTCTCTGAAAGGGAAGATGCAACTTTCAAATGCACACCCACTTCATCAGATACACACACACACACATGGTCGGAAAGCATGGGGGTTCATTAGGAGTCACACACCCCGACGAGCCCACAGCTGTGATGGAAATGTGTCCTATGGTGCAACAAGCCCCCCATTAACGCCATTGATCTTGTCTCTCTCACACACACAATCTTTCTCTTTCTGTGGCTCTGCGGTATCTGATGGTCGGCATTGATGATTAGATTTAGGAACATCAAAGCTAAGTGGACTTGGGTCTGTAATAATGCGCTGCTATTCATAGACGCAGTTTCTCCTCTGTTTTCTCCTTTATGCTTGGGAATCTGTGTCAGTGGAATCGGCATACGTGTGAACGTGCCCGCGTGAGCTCATTCTGTCGGTGTGAGAAATGCCTGTGTGCTCTGTAGCATACTGATGAAGCGGCCGGCGTGTGGTATACTCCTGCTACACACACACACATCACGCAGCATCACCATGGAAACACCTCGCCTGACCACACCACAGAGCCATTCATAGGACTAGTGTGTGTGTGTGTGTGTGTGTGTGTGTGTGTGTGTGCATGTTTATGTGGTTTATGAGGACACAAATTTGTATAATAACATGGGTATGACATAGGTATTACAATGAGAAGGTGATTTATGAGGACATTTTCAGTGTCCCCGTAATTCAAAAGGCTTAAAATAATTCAGAATTAGTTTTTTTGAAAATGTAAAAATGCAGAAAGTTTCCTGGGAGGGGTAGGTTTAGGGATAGGGTTGGTGTAGGGCAATAGAATATACGGTCTGTACAGTATAAAAACCATTACACCTATGGAGAGTCCCCATAAACCATAAAAACAAACCTATGTGTGTGTGTGTGTCTCGCTTTCCCCCTGTGTGAAGTTGTGTTCTCCGTTGGGATGCTCTGACAGTTAACTGAGTCTGAAGTTAATTATTGAAGTTATTTCGTATGTCGTTCCCCAGAGTGGTTCGTCTCGAGGTTTAACACAGAGTCTTCATAGATAGGATAATGTACATGACCAGATTTAAAAGGAACAATTTATTCAAACTAAAATTTAAATTCTGTCATTATTTACTCACCCTCATGTCGTTCCAAACTGGTAGGACTTTCTTTCTTCTACGAAAGAACATATTTGTCTTTTTTTTTGGCCACATAATGAAAGTCAATATGGACAAATTTCTTCAAAATATCATGTTAGAATATCATGTTATATGTGATTCTCATACTCTCTTTTTTTTTTTAACTAAGTGTAGATTTCTTTTACTGTAGTGAAGTTCAAAAACTTTGCGTATTTGCTTTCAAATGATGGTGAAATTAAGAAACTGACACATAAGTTTTAGTTTGTTCCATTTTCACATTTATTTTAAAGTTTTAGTAATTTCGTTGATATTTTTTTACATTTTAATTATTTTTTTAAAACGTGTATGTTTTATAAATTTTTATTTCAAATGTAGTTTCAGTTAATGTAGTTAAAATAAATGTAAATGAGAAACTGTCTGAAATAAAATTATATATTTTTAATGGTTTTAGTCTTTAGTTTTTAATAATTTTATTGTTATAGCTTCAGGGAAAATTCATGTAATTACACAACATTTCATTAAACAAAAAAGAAAAAATTACACTCGTAATTTTCAGAAATGACGTGGTGTTTCGAGGTGCGAGGTTCTGCTAAAAATATTAAATATTTAGGATAAATCTACATAAACTAGTCATCCTCACTGTAAAGCCTGTGTTATACTTTCCGCGTGCGCGAGTCCGCTATGATGTAAAAATCGTCATCGGAGAGTGGACATCCGCGTGCCTCCCATTTTTTGTGCGGTCAGTAGGCTACAAAAGTAGCCTTTTAGTTACTTTTATTGGAGTAACCAATATTGTAATACATTACTTTTAAAAGTAACTTTCCCCAACACTTCTAATAGTTCTGATCAAAATAATAATTCTCCTGATTTAAATCTTTACTTTTTGGGTCTTGTCAGTGTCATTGTTCAGGTATAAATTATTATCCAGATACCTGATGAAGCAGATAGCATTGTAACAAGGAGCCTGTTGTTTTTTGTTCCAGAGATGATAAACTTCAGCCAATTTCCATATGTATGTTAGGTACCAATCTTTGGAATTAACAGTTTTACTTTTTAGCATACAAATGTGTCATAAATACTTCTGAGATAGAAATAAATTGGGCCATCGAGCATCCCATTGTGTTCTTACAGGAAACACATACTGTATTAGCTAAAAACATTTGATATCTAATGACTGGCACACAGCTCCAGAAATAGTTATTTTATTCGAGCAGTTAGTGTCATTGTGACTCACTAAACAGATGGATTGCTATTTTCGAAAAGTGTTTTTTAACAAGATGAGCAACTTGATATCTGGCCTGAGGAAACATGACAGGGCATGTCTATGTCTAGCGCTGTCTGATACCATGAAGTTTGAAGCTGTTCGACCTCAGTTTGTAGTGTTGGAGTAAAAGTCCATGTTTGCTACTGTACAGTGATGTTGACTTCCTTTTTCTCTCTGTGTCCTCAGCTAGTATGACACACTGGCCTACTAATGTCGCTCAACTGCGCTGTACTCCTCTGCTTCCCCACAGTGTGCCGTTCAGTCAGCCTCATTACCCACAATCCCTCTGTTCTACCCTCAGCGGCCCACAATGCCGATGAATCACAGTCACATTAATAAAAGAGCAGCTCTCATAGCCAGCTTCAGTACCATATGGCTCGTTGAAATAAAAAAAACGTAATTTTAAGAGTCACCGTGTCACATTTACTGTTATAGCAAGACTTATGATATGAGTTTTAGTTTAGCTGTTATATCTGTCCATGCAAAACCGTAATAGGATCATCATTTGTGTCTGAAAATGGAAATTAATGTTTTGTGCACTTCAAGAATCAGATCTGCAATCTCTATAGACACTGACCACCAGAGGGCGGTGTGTGTGCTAATATTCAGAATAATTTTTTTAAAGGGGTCATATGATGCGATTTCTATTTTTCCTTTTCTTTAATGTGTTATGTAGATGTTTGTGCATGTATACGATCTGCAGAGTTACAAAGCTCAAAGTCTCACACAAAAGGATTTATTCTATCTAAAAGAGAAGGCTGATCCAGACCGGGCTAAAACGCCTCATTCAAACACGCTCCCACATGTCTACGTCACGATGTGGAAATATTTGCGTAATGCCGCACAAATGTGCACGCAAAGAAAGAAGCCGTGGTTTCAGGAACAGTAGTAGTGTTGATGCAGCTATGTCAGGGAGACGGTGTGTGTTTCTGTGTGAAACCAAAAGCACATTATTTGGCCTTCCGGAAGTAGATGCAATTAGGAATCATTGGTTAAGATTTATTTACAACAGAACAGCACAACCCAGATGTTCGAATTTGTGCAACGCATTTTATGGACGACAGTTTTGTGAACCTAGGAGAGTACGAGGCTGGCTGTGCATATGTCAGGGAGACGGTGTGTGTTTCTGTGCGAAACCAAAAGCACATTATTTGGCCTTCCGGAAGTAGATGCAATTAGGAATCATTGGTTAAGATTTTCACGCCACTCTGTTGCCCTTTCGGGCTTGAACTGATGGTAAAACTAGCGACATTATTAACTGTCTTGATATTTACTTTGAAAGCTAAAGCTCGCGATTATGGTAAGGGGTGTTACATTTCCGATGCATGCTTGTGGTTTTCGGCCGATCACAATGCACTGGGTCAGCTGGCCAATCAGAGCAGACTGCGCTTGTCAGAAGGAGGGGCTTTGTTGAAAACGACGAGTTTGAGAGAGGCGGGGCATAGAGGACCTACAATAATGTACAGTATTTGAAAAATAATGTGTTTTTTGAACATTAAAGCATGTCAACATATTCTGTTACACCAAATACACAAAAGAATGATCTTTAAAATAGCATCATATGACCCCTTTAAAAGATTGATTCCTAAATTATCACCTCCAATCCTAAATATGTGGTTACTGTATATTTATTGTTACCAGTGTTAGTATTGTTATACTATAATAACATTTATTCATATTTTTTGTATTTTCAGTTTTCTTTTTAATTTTAGTTTGTTTTTATGTGATATACTTTTGTCATTTTTTTGTTTTTGATTTGTATTTTTATAAATCTTTAATTATTTCTTTATTTCAGTTTTAACTTACTTTAACTTAAACTTCTTTATTTCAGTTAGTTGCCAAGGTAATAATTTTTTCAGTTGAAGTTTTTCATCTAATATTTATATAAAATTTTATTTCAGCTTTAATTAAATTATCGATTTTTAATAGTTTTAGTTAACAATAACAACAGTTGTTACTGACATATACTATGTTCATATAATATATTTGTATAATATATTCAACGTTATTAACCTTTAGCCTAAAATTTAATATTATTTTAACCTCATACGGTAAATCTGGAAGTCAAATAATCTAAATATAATAGAATATAATAAGCTTCTTAAGGCCAATATCACACTATTTGCTTAAATATGATGAAATATTCTAAAGTTTTTGTTTAATCCATATATTTATATTTTTATAATAATTATTATAGTAGTAGTAATAGTTTTAGTGTATTAAAATAAATATTTTGATTTTAGTATTATATATTTTGTTTTATTTATTTATCTTTTTGCATTATACTAAATAGAGCTGTAAGTCATGTTTTTGCTTAGGGAACCTATTCACATAATGTAAATTTAGATAAATGGTTTAAGATCAAAAGTTTAATACTCATCCACAGAACTAGTTCCCATAGAGACATTGTTAAAAATGACTGTGTCTTGGGTACAATCTGGGCTTTTTCCTGCACTGTGTGTTATGAAAGATTTGGATGAAGTGTATTTACAATCTGTCCTTCTGCTGTTTGCAAATATTGAATTTCTTGTGGTTTGGTTGTGTGCCATCCTGCAGCACACTCAAGTAGGGCTGGGCGATATGACGATATTATCATATATCGACGATATCTCGTAAGTATCGCAATGTCGATGTCAACAGTCAGGTAACAGACGATTATCGACATTATCGGGAAAAAATGACAAATGATAAACCTAGTAAGTTGCAAAAAATATTTTACATAGCCCCATAGTCACCATACAGGTTTTTTTGCATGCAAGAATGAAATAATTTAGTAGGAGGGTTGGGAATCGAAAAGCTATTCCAATTTCGGAAATCAGATCAGATGCCTAAGGTCAGGAATCAAATTACATATAAAATTAAATTTCGATTCTGCGTCTCGAGACGAAATAGAACTCACTTCTGCACTCGCGCACTGTTTTCTGTGCTGCACACACACACACACACAAAGAGCACACACAAAAGCCACCTCTTAAATATGCAAACACTGGCCTGAGCTCTCTTTCTCGCGTTCTTACACATTCGAATGGACAAATACACACAGAATTATATCAAAATATCCCATAAATACAATCAGTTATGTCTTAAGTGAACGCAAAGAGCTGAGAAAGAAAACAAGGGTGTATTGGATCCGTGCATTGACAGCAGCCGCTGCCGCCAGTCATTATAATGTTAATCAAAGAAAAGAAAATCCCTCATTGATCTTGACTGAATCATTTTTGTAACCTCATTTTATATTTTATTTGCCTGTTGTTCGGCGATGCATTCCAATATAATTTATCCTTATTTAGGGTATGGCCTATTCTATTTTGAGCTGCAGTTTAATTGTTAAACAGAAAAAAGACAAAAAGTAGCACTGCATGTGTGTCTGAATATTTATTTAAACAGACTGTATAATGATGAAAAACCACAAACATGACAGGTATATTTAAAATAAGCAAATTCCTTCAGCGCACATTTCAGTGCAATATTTTTTACAGATTTTGTAAACCTTGTATACAATATAATTATGTTTAATTAAGCTGAGATATAGCACTATAAATTCTTAATTCATTTGCAATAAAACTATAAAGTTTTGTTGCAAACGGATGAAGATATTAGACTTCTCAGCTCGTCCCTCAACATGCATGTGTTTGGAGTTTCGACAGCCCAACACTGAATATTATATTGTGGGCATTGTATTTTGATTAATAAAATAAAAATTACAATATAAAAATGAAATTGAAATTACCCTGCTTCTAATTAAATAAAGCCGTTATTTTTATTTAGTTAAAAACGGGCCGAAAGAGACCTCCGAACTAGTAGGCTACCAGAAAGGGGAAAAAAAAACCTTAACGTTTTTGCTCGGAATTCATTTTTAATCCGTGCATGATTTTAGTCATACATGATAAATATCAAATACGTTATAGCTTGACTACAAGTTTAAAAACAACGCTGCAATTGTTGTAATTAAGGAAATTAAACTTACCATAATGAAATGTGTCTACACCGTAATGTATTTACTGTATTTAATGCCAAAAAGAAAGAGAAACATTGGAAAATCGGCATATTTTATTCAAGACTTTATTATATGACATTAACATGCATTTATCATTTTTACAATCACCGCCAGAATGTCCAACTTCACAATGATGAACTAAAAATTGGGTTCTATTATTTTTCCTCAACAGTTCTCCTCCCAAAACAAAATTAATTTCAAACACAAATTTGATAAGAACAGAGTGGAAATTATTAGCAACAACCAAAATAACAGCAAAGCTAATGTTTTCTGTTAGTTTAAGCACAAACTAAAAAAAGTAAAACCAAACTTTGTGGCAATAATTAAGACCAAACGGAACATGGTGTGTGTTTATGGTGCATGTCGGCAATGTTTTCTCGGAGGGGGCGGGGCGGGGCGGGGCGGGGCGTGGTGGAGGTGAAGCTTAGGTAGACGATATTATCGGATATCGCAATATTTCGATAAGATATTTTTGACATATCGCCCAGCCTTACACTCAAACTTTTCTTTTTTTCCATTCCTAAGTGGAGCTCCCATCCAACATGTCTAGAAGGAGCCTCAATCAGCTTCCAACAAGAACACGTTCACCTTCTGCCTTATCTTCATCATCATCATCATCATCATCATCTCCTCATCGATCTGAAAGAACCAGGCGTCCAGCTCATACGCCTCCAGGTGCCAAACATCCCTCGTCCCCTGGACGCCATGACATTGCCTCCCGCATAGATCCCACCCCGTCCCTCAGTTCCGAAGGGTCGGGTAACTTAGGTGACGGGGCACAGGGCATCCACCTGCTATTACGACCCCCAGACCTTCTAACACCCAGCCAGATGCCTCCCCTCCATGATGACAGACTGCCGACACCAGCTCCCCCAACCCTGATGCCACCCGAAGACCAGTATCCCGTCCACTCCGCGGAGGTGGACTGGGGCTCCGGAGACTACCTTGAAACTCTTACTTTCATGGGATCGGAAGGGGAGGAGTTTTCTCTCGTCACCACCCTTCCTACGCATGGATACGATCCGTATGATATGGACGATGATGCCACGGTCAGCTACAACACAGCTTTCCCCTCTCGCCCCGTCCTGCCCCTCTCGTCAAGAGACCTCCAGCCCAGCGTGACTGTAAAATATGGGACTAATTTAAGGACTGCCCATCCTACCGATCCCCACCTCCCATTGGCTCCTGACTCCGCCCATGCAAGCGATATGGATGATGATTTGGATTTCGATTGGGCGGAGCTTTTTCCCATTGAGCCGACTGAAATGCTGCTTCCTGATATGAACAGTTTGGAATACTATAACACGTTGCAAGCCAAAGAGAATGCTAGTATTGTGAGGAATAGGACGCACCTTCATATTAACCCTACGCACACTGTGGGACCCACCCACACTCCCACTGCAACTTTGGGAAAAATCCCGGACAAAATTGACCGGACAACTCCTCGACCTATTCCATCAGTAACCCCAACTCCACCCCAAAAACCTACAAAGCCTCCCATTGCATCAACCACCGAGACACAACGGCCTCCTGAAGGCCCAGATAAGGGTGTTCCTTCCATACCCACGTCCCATGTGGGCAAAACCCGACCACCAGTGCCAACCGCCCTGCCTCCACCCGGCACCTCAGAGGGTCCAGTAATACAAGCCGTTACGCTGAAGCCCCCTGCTACCAAACCCCATATGACCACCATAAAAACCACCACCAGAACCACAACTACAACCACGACTACCATGAGCACCACCAGCCTCTCCACCAAAAGCCCACCACCTACAACCCCCAGAATTCCTCTGTCCATCACACCCCGACAGTACGTCTGCAATATCACCAAACCGGACATGTACCTAGTCAGAGTGGGTAAGACAATTTACACAATATATCTGTATCATATTGGTTATTAGCCGATATTAGAGATTTTTTAGTTTATCATATTATTTATTATTATTATTGTGCACATAATTTTTTTTAATTTTTACATTTAGTTCATTTATCATATTATTATTATTGTGCACATTAATTTTCTTTATTTTTACATATAGTGAATTTTTTTAAACCACTAATAACATGATTTAATTTTTTAATGATTTATATTTAACAGTGATAACAGTACATAACAGTTATATTTAAATAGATAACACTATCTATCTATCTATCTATCTATCTATCTATCTATCTATCCTGTTTATCATTATTGCCCACATTAATTTCCTCTTGTTTAACATTTAGGTAATATTTAAAAAAACACTGATCATTTAACACATTCGTAATTTAATGTTGTGATGGAAAAATTCTTTAGAAAGTTAAAAAAGGTTTTTATTTGTTTAACTGTACTTTGTCATTATTATTAATTATTTAATTATATATTTGTATTTTTTTATAATACGTTTTAATTACATACATTTGTTATCATCTCTTACAACCTCCTTGTCTGACTCTTGCAGGCATGCCTAGTGGGTCATCGGTTGCGTTTGCCAAAGCTCATGTGCGGGAGATCCTTCGACGAGAGTTCAACCGTTCAGTAGAGCTCCAGGTGAGCGTGTCAGATCACAACAGGTCACACATCAGCTATTTATTTCTAGCATCACTGATGTCTATCTGTGCTTTCCATTCAGGTCCTCAAAGCCCCACCCAATTTCATCTTCCGGGCAGTTTCTGGTCCACTGGTGTACACTGCTATCTCTGTCATTAATGCTGTCCGCCAATCAGTGCACAGCACTTCCTCTTCTTCCATTCTGTTCGTCACAACTATATATGCAGTGCCTGATTACAAACATCAGGTCCACACAGGTGAGAGAGTCAGAGTATAACCAGTGAATAGCACGCTCACGTGTGTCAAATTCTAAAAACTGAGTAATCATTTTAAAGTAAATAATATACGTTTTATTTAAATATGTAATATCATATATAATAAACATTATATTTATGTTTTAAGAATGATTGTGACATTAGTTAATTTGTCTTGCAGTGCTGCAGTTTGTACCGAGTCATGTGGATGTGCGTCTGTGTAGCTTCAGTGAGCGTGTAGAGAAGGGGCTACTCATGGCATACGCGGAAGTACGCAAACGCTCACAAGAAAATGGAAATTTCACAGTTCATGTATGTAATTAATTCAAAATACTCAAAGCACAATTTTTGCACACTTTACTGTTTTTCCATGAAAAGCTTGTTAACAATGATTCTGTGTATTACATACATTTAAATAGTATTGATAATTCTGTATGATTGCTTGTCTAGATTGTGAATATCACTAGTAGCCTTCCTAAGGGTCAGCGGCTGCAGAAGGCACCGGTGGACATCACTTTTGCTGTGCGTGATTCTCAAGGCTTCCTAACGGGATCAGATGTGAGTGGTCACATGAGGCAGCTCAGCGCTGTGGAGTTCAGCTTCTACCTTGGTTTTCCTACCCTGCAGATCGCTGAACGTGAGTCACAAATACACACACTGGCTCTTTGTCTCAATTTCTCATAAACGTTATTCATTTATCACTCTTTTTATCTCAATTCTTGTCTTCCAGCTTTTCATTATCCTGAACTGAATGTGTCCCACCTGTTACACACATCCTGGGTGAAAACAGGTATGTGGGTGTGTTCCAAATTAAACCTTGGAATCCAAAGTAATGTATATTAAAACAGTCAATATAAAATGTATAATTATACAATATGAATTAATATTATTATATAGTTTTAAATATTAAAAACACAATATTATTTTTGAGGTGAGTTCTTATGTGAGATAAATATGATTGTAATACATTTTTCATTAATTTATATAATTAATTGTTATAATACTAATTCATTTTTGTATTTGATTTATTCACATCTTGTATTAAATTCAATATTATGATCTAATATTTCTCATTATCAGGCTATTAATGGGACAGGCACTTATAAATGTTTATTTTACTAAAAGATGGCAGGTGGATTTATACTAGTCTGTAATTTATGAATATTATAATTTAGTACTTCATGCACATTTCTTATGCTACTTCCTTTTTTGTGGATTTGTGCATTTGTTCTAGTGTTATTGGGTGTGTTGGACCAGCGTGTGAACGAGAGGACCTTCCAGGCCAAAATGGAAAGGCGATTAGCACTGCTGGTTGGAGAGGGACTTCGGATCGGGGTTAGCAGTCGACGATGGAGAAGAGCTACTAGTATTGGCAACAACAGTGTACAGGTACATTCAAACACATTAGTGTACACAGTTTGTTTGTCTTTCCCACACATCACATAAGCACGAACCCTGGTGTGCCTCAGATCGTGCGAACGTCCCGTCTGGATGGCCCGGACTACCCGCTGGAGCTGGTGTATTTTGTGGAAGCGGGGTCAGGAGAGAGGCTGCCAGCCCAGGCCACTGCAGCCATGCTCAACAGACTGAACCTGCAGAGAGCCGCCATCGTACTGGGCTACAGAGTACATGGAATTCTGGCCACACGTGAGTCAAAGTTGTATCAACTAAAGGCTGTGACAAACTAAACCGACGTCAAAGAACTAACGGCTACTGTTTTGTCGCCTTGCGCCACCTTCATCTGTCAAAAATTTGCACGTGAACACACCACAAAGACTACAGCCAATGGACAGTTAGAATGTGCGTTCTGTGCCTGCTTGAGAGGAAATAACAAGTGGCAGTAGTCTATATTCATCGTATGACCCCAGCTAACAGGGAACATTCTCAGAACTTGGGCTAACGTTCTGACGTGGTTCTCGCAAAGTAATGAACAAACATTTTTCCAGTAACAATAATGGAATGTTCATTCAAAGTTATTCGGTCTTTAATAATTCTCTAAATGTTTGCACAAAAATATTTATAAATTGATCATGGAACAGTTTTTCCTGAAATTTGACATTCGACTAACATTTTTTAAATGTTAAAAAAAATTAAATACATGTAGCTACTAGCTACTGTTTCACAGTGTTCAGAGAACATTCAAAACTAACATTTTCTTGATGTTTGCAAAACCATAAAATGGAATGTTTTCTTAACGTTAACGCAAAAACCAAGAAAAACGTTTAAAAAAAACGTTTTGAACATTCAGAAATAACTTTTTAAGAACTTACTGGGAACGTTAGTAAAACATTAAGAGAACATTCAAACATAACATTCCCATAATGTTTGCAGAATGATGAAATGGAATGTTTTCATAACCAAGAAAAATCTGGAGATTCTGAACGTTCAGAAATAATGTTTTCAGAACTTAATGATAACGTTAGCAAAACATCCTCAGAACATATTTGTTAGCTAGGACTGTGAATATATAAGCCGTTAATAAAGTACCACTTGCTTTCCATTTTGAATATGATATGAATCATGTTGATCAGCTGGTCTTCTTCATTCCAGACGTCTTTATAAAATATATAGATTTACTTGATATGTCACAGCCTTAAAAAACGTGTTTTTAATAAAGCAAAAATGTATGATTTTTTTGTGCCAAATATCATGATACTCTGTTTCAGCGGTGGAGAAGCTAGCCCTGCTGCCCTCTGAGACTCAGCCCAGTAACGTGTGGCTGATCGTAGGAGTTGTGGTCCCAGTTCTTGTGGTCATCCTCATCATCATCATCCTCTACTGGAAACTGTGCCGCTCTGAAAAACTGGAGTTTCAGCCAGACGCCATGAACACCATCCAGCAGAGACAGAAGGTCAGGGTCACTGAGTGTGTGTGTGTGTGTGTGTGCGCGCGCGTGTGTGTGTGTGTGTGTGTGAAAGTGTTGCCCACTCATAGACACTCCATGTGAAGTGACAGTGCTCATTTTTACTCACCCATGTCAAGGGCTTTAATGGAAAAATGGGCTGCATTGCAACAGTCAATTTAGCATGTTGTATCATACTTACTGTACTTTCATGTGTTTGTCATTGTAGTTGCAGCCTCCCATTGTTAAAGGCTTTGATTTTGCTAAACTACACCTGGGGCAGCATAGTAAGGATGACATCATGATAATCCAAGAACCCGCCCCTTTGCCAGCACCTGTTAAAGAGGCCACGCCCTCAGAGGGCGGAGAATTGAACACTCCTAAATCAAAGAGCTCATCTACAAAAGCATCCCGTGCAGCACGGAGAAGAGGCAGGTAAGAAACTGTCTGTGAGCAGGTTCTGTTTATATCAGTGTAATTTTAGTATTATTTATTTACTATAGTTTGTGTAGCGTTTATTTTTATATTTTCATTTTAAATGTAGTTTAATTTTTGCTAATTTGATTGTGTGTCATTTTTATTGATTTCTGCTATTTCGTTTATTTTTATTTCAGTTGTGTTTCTTATTCAAATTTAGCAATTATAAGGGCTTCAACTTAATTTCAGTTAATATCAGTTAGTTGCCAAGGCAAGGCATTCGTTTTCATCTTTATTTTCATATTTATTTCAGCCTTTATTTTTAGTTAACAATAAAAACACCGGTTTATATTATCTTTAAAAAAAAATTTGTTTGTTTGTTTTGTTTGTTTTTTAGTTTTGTGTCATTTATATTTATTTTTGTTTTGTTTTTTAAATACTGCTATTTACTACTATTTTTTTTCAGGTTGTCTCCATCTGATGGAGATTCATTAGGAAGTGAAGCATCCAGCGGTAGAGAATCAGCAGAGGAAAGCACCAGACCTGCTGTGACGCCAAGTGACAGCAAACCCCAACATCGCAAGAGCAAGCATTGTATTATACGACAAAAGCACACTAATTCTAGTATAATATACTAGGGGAAGTCGTGGCCTAATGGTTAGAGAGTCGGACTCGTAACCCAAAGGTTGTGGGTTTGAGTCTCGTACCGGCAGGGATTGTAGGTGGGGGGAGTGAATGTACAGCGCTCTCTTCCACCTTCAATACCACGACTGAGGTGCCCTTGAGCAAGACACTGAACTCCCAACTGCTCCCCAGGCGCCGCAGCATAAATGGTGTGTGTGTGTGTTCACTGCTGTGTGTGTGCACTTTGGATGGGATAAATGCAGAGCACTAATTCCGAGTATGGGTCACCATACTTGGCCACATGTCACGTCACTTTCACATTTTTTATACAGTATATAAATTTACTATATTATTGTACTATATACTGTATTACCTATTAATAATTAAAAGTATAGTATAAATATTAATTATTAATAATTTTTTGGGGAGAGAAAAGTTTAATGTTTATATTTATTAATTAATGAAATTATATTATTTTATAAAATAATATTGTTTTTACTTATGTTTATTTATTTATTAAAATGTGTACAGTCTAAATAAATGTCTATCCTGTTTACACTTGTATTTATTTTAAACATTAAGCACATATTTCCTTTCCTTTTCCTTGTACTTCCTGATTTAATAATTCATGTATCAGAAACAGAATATTCAGCAAATATGTAATCTATAAGAAATCATTCGTAACCCATTCTGATGCAGATCCAAGTGGCCTTGAGGCATAAATCTGAGATCGAACACCATCGCAATAAGATCCGCCTGCGTGCCAAGAGAAAGGGCCACTACGAGTTCCCCTCCATGGAGGACATCATGACAGTGTTTGGCGACAGCTCCGAACAGCAGCGAGTGTATCAACAAGCTCAAGAACAGATACACAAGATCCTGCATCTTGAAGAACACACACCTTCATCGTGCGGAGAGCCACGCAAAAGGTCAGGATAATAAATCTCACTTGTACAATCTGCAACACATATACAAGTTCTGGCATGAAACTGTAGATGGCACAGTCCGATAGGACTAACTCAATCTGACCTAATGACATCATTATCACATGGCACAGCTGATTGGTTCTTTCCTGTATCGGCAGCCAATGACCTCGCTGCTCAACATTCAAATATGACTAGTGCTTGCTGTAGCAGTTTGCAGCGTGCTTCAGAAACCCTTCACCTTCCCCAGCTCTACCTGTATAGATCTGCTACGAGGTGATTCATGTATGCTATATGGGGGTTATTTCATGTACGTTATATTTGCAGCAGCAGTATTTCTTACATGCTCACAGCAGAATGTTGTGGATGTATTAGCAGTAGCAAGTCTCTGTACTTGCTCTGCCGCAGCAGCGTAGCAGATCTATTCCACCAAGACCAAATACATTAACATTGTCATGTACATTACCATGCCAATCCAGCCGAGAATTGTCATGACAGAACTAGAGTTTGCTATCCGGGAAAGTGAATGCAATTTGTTTGTGAATTGCAGTTCCAAAGAAAGACGCTCTCCCAGACACAGACAAAGACAGAATTTGAGTGGAAGCGGAAGTCTGAGAGACAAAGATCGCCTGATTTCCGACGGAGATGCCATGTACAGGAAGTACCCCGGGGTCAACAATGTGGCCTATGTGGTAGGACACGCACATGCACATGCCTTCACTCAACTAAGACACACAAACTCACCACTCCTCTTCCTGTAGTCCGATGCAGATCAGCTCCCAGATGCAGGAAGCCCTTCTCCTACTGATGAGGTGTTTTTAGACCCTGGATCGCCGCCGTCTGGCCCTGCCCCTGCCCCGCCCAGCTACGTCCCTCCTCAGCCAACCATAGAAGAAGCCCGGCAACAGATGCACTCCTTATTGGATGACGCGTTTGCTCTGGTCTCACCTTCTTCTCAAGGAAGCCCTGCTCCTCTAACATTCACTGGCATTACGGCGGTCACTTGTGTCGGCGGAATCAGCCCCGGTCAACCCTCCAGCCCGTCCTCACGTCCTACACGCCAATGGGGCTCCTCTTCTTACCCAGCAGCCCCTGTACACAGTCCTTTCTCTGTGGTGAGTGACTGTAGACATTTGAATGATGGAATTTGAATCCAAGTAATGTGAAATTTAATTTATTTTCTCTCTGCTTTTTAGAGGTATGCCGAGTTAGGAATGTCTCCCACATCTGTTCAAGGTTTACTGCAGAGGTGAGGTGGATTCTGGGAGGTTTTATAGAATAAACTAGTAAGAAAAGTCAGGAGGAAGTTGAAAAATGCATGTAAACATGAACGTGAAGCATAATGATACTGTTAAGCCAGCAAATAACAAGTTTGAGTACAGAAAAGCAAATATGCTGCCTTATCCCAATTTGTCCTCTCTTAAATATTCATCAGGTTCAGATATAATATTTACTCAGCAGATTGTTTGTATAACTTGACAGTCAGGCGCAGGGCTCTGGATATGTGGTGTCAGCAGAGATGCAGTCAGATCCTGGATACTCCAGCAGGGGGCTGTATGGAGAAGAGATGCCATCATCTTCTCGGCCACGACCAGTAGGGGGCAGCACAGGTAACGGTCTTATTGGTATTTGAACGTTTGGTTTCATTGCTATGATAATTGCTACGTGTTGTGTGTGTAGGTGCACAGTTGCATCAGCTGACACAAGTGGGCTTGTCAAGTCGGATTGGACTGTATCCTGGAGTTGGCCGTAGTGTATCTGGACCTTCAGGATCAAGCTGGGCCCATTACCGCTCAGATGAGGAGATTTCCAGACCAGGATCCAACCGAGAGGCTGTAAATCAAACATGCACATTCATAATAGTATATATAAGAGTATAGCATAAAATATGGGATGTTATAAAATCCCAAAACTGTGCTATTGGATTACCAAAGCTTTGCAGTTTAGTTGCATTCAATAAAAGTATTAAAAAATATAATATAACATATAAGTATATCATATATATATCATATAAGTATAACGGCAATAATGTGAATGGACAAACTAATGATAGCAATTACATCATTTAATTTGTTTAATTTTATGTAATTGTTAATTTAAGTTAATTCATAAAAAATATTTTAATTGTTTATCTAATTTTAAATAATAATTCATATTAATGTAAGTAATTTAAAACTATTTTATTTGTATTAATTTAAATGTAGAACAATTCAAATGTATATTTTTATATATATATATATATATATAAACATTTAATTTATCTATATCTATATATTTATCTATATCTATATTTGAAATCTATCTATATATAATGTATATTTAGTTTAATTCAATTTTAGTTTCTGTTTAAGTATGTTTATTTTTTTCCTGAATTGTTGACATTTTATTCATTCTTTTTTTTATCTCCCTATCTGATTCTCACAGAATATATTTAAATGATATTTAAATAAAAAAATTTTTTTAATTATTTAATTAAATGTTTTAATTTTTATTTAAAATGTAAATGTAAATTTAGTGTACATTTTATTTTGTTATTTATTTATTTTATTTATTAAATTATTTTTATTTAATTATTTAATAATATATGTAAAATTTCTAGCTTTTTATATTTATCTATATACAATTTACTTTAAGTTTGTTCAAACATAATCTTTGTTTTTTGTTTTTTTCCTGAGTTGTTGGTATTTATTCATTATTTCTCTCTCCCTCTCTGTTTCTCACAGATACTGACATTCCCAGAGTACTCTTCATCACCAGTATTCCAGATGCCCAGGACGTCCCTGCAGGATCCCACAACACCCCAGGGTCACCTGGAAGCCTCGAGCGCGGGGTACATCGCCCCTGAGGAGCGTTCTCCACCCCCCCAATCCTCTGCCTTTCTCATCAAGGCTATCAGGGAAGAACTCCAGAGACTTTCTCAGAAACAGGTTGCTGTTGTCAGCTACCAGAGTTGAGAAAGACCATCCCAAAAACCCCTGCCCTGGTTACCTTCCCGATGTACCACATAAACAAACTCACAAATCCCAACACAGCTCCATGGCTGAGAAGCTGCTTTACACAAAATCCGAAACAAAACCTTCAAATTCAAGTACGGCTGGTCTATTACATATGAAGAATTACTCGCAATCTTCCATACTGGTATTGCCAAGACATCCGCAAATTAAATTCCACTGCTGACATGCAGAAAATAAACTTAAATACTCTCTCCTATAATTCACAAAGAAAAAAAAAACTCATGTCCAGACTGTTTAGAAAAATAGACAAAACTTCCCCATATTCAGACTCTCAATGTGCATGCTGAGAGCTGTGAACCTTCAAGACTTCGTACTGACTGTTGCTAATGTGAAAATCCCTCCCCTTCATTCCATGTCTCTCAAAGTGCTTCCTCCAAATGGGTCATCTTCATGTCTCTGAACTTCCTCTGGTGCTAAACATCATTGCTGGGCTCCGCCACGATACCACAATTCAGCCCTGCCCAAAAACTCTGAAGTGGCGTTCTTTCCTTTTCCTGTTCTCCCATTTATCCAAGACGGCTTATCAAGTGGAAATGTGCTCTGTTCCAAAACCTAGTGAGCTGTTCAATGTGAAATCTGTTCCAAAGGTTAGTCAACTTAATTATGTTCGCTTACAAGATACTTAAATATGTTTTAACCAAAAAGTTATATTTCATTTGATAATATTCATTAAAACTGTATATTATCTATATATTATTTTGCCCAACATTGGTGAGCTTTATGTATTTTTATACTTGTTGTATCACATTGTTAGCTTAGCAACATGCTAATGTAAAACCCTGGCCGGGGCAAGAAAAATATTGATTATAAAGTTACATTTCATTAAATACTGTTCATAAAAACTTAAAATATATTATTTTGCCCAATATTTGCGAGTTCTATGTATTTTTATACTTGTTAGAGTATCACGCCATTCATTTAACAACATGCTAATGTCAAACTCTGGACGGGGCAAGAAAAATGTTGATTATAAAGTTACATTTCATTAAATACTGTTCATAAAAACTTAAAATATATTATTTTGCCCAATATTTGCGAGTTCTATGTATTTTTATACTTGTTATTATGTATTTTTATACTTGTTGTATCACATTGTTAGCTTAGCAACATGCTAATGTAAAACCCTGGCCGGGGCAAGAAAAATATTGATTATAAAGTTACATTTCATTAAATACTGTTCATAAAAACTTAAAATATATTATTTTGCCCAATATTTGCGAGTTCTATGTATTTTTATACTTGTTAGAGTATCACGCCATTCATTTAACAACATGCTAATGTCAAACTCTGGACGGGGCAAGAAAAATGTTGATTATAAAGTTACATTTCATTAAATACTGTTCATAAAAACTTAAAATATATTATTTTGCCCAATATTTGCGAGTTCTATGTATTTTTATACTTGTTAGAGTATCACGCCATTCATTTAACAACATGCTAATGTCAAACTCTGGATGGGGCAAGAAAAATGTTGATTATAAATTTATATTTAAATCGATAATGTTCATAAAATCACAAAAATATGTTATTTTGCCCAACATGTGAGATTTATTTAGGTTTGTACTTATTGGAATCTCATCTCATTAGCTTAGAAACATGCTAATGTCAAAATTTGGAATGGACAAGAAAAATGTTAATTATATTTGATATTTGAATGTAGCTATATTTAATTCGATAACAATCATTAAATTGCGTTATTGTACCCAAGATTTGCGAGTACTGTATATTTTACTTAGGCCTATTAGAACATCACACGTTAGCTTAGCAACATGCTCATGTAAAACTCTAGACGGAGCAAGAGAAATGATGATTAAAAAGTAATAATTCATTCAATAACATAAAATCTTAAATTTGCACCCAACATCTCTGAGTATTTTTATACTAATTAGAGTATCACACCTTTAGCTTAGCAACATGCAAATGTTAAAGGGGTCATATCATGGGTAGTGCCAATGTAAGAAAACTGCATCTCTGTAATTCATTAAACAGCATACTGCGTTTTTACTGTTTACACATTTCATTGCTGACGTGCTGTGTGTGTAGATAGTGGAGGCAATGGAGATCATGTTGTTGGCAGTGGTTTCTCCTGAGATCCGCTGCGAATGGCATCTAGAGGATTGGCAGGTGGCCCTTGTCTCCACAGTGAGGAGCTCGTCCAATCAGAGCCCTTTATTTTGTTTTCGCTCTAAAGTTTGACAGGAATGGAATGTTGTAGTGCGAGATGCGCACATGTGACCGTCTGACCAGTTTGGTTGATCTTTTGTATCTTTTTGAAGGTGATGTAAGGCGTATTTCATGATAAAAACTTATTTCTGTCCCAGATTTATATGCAAACTGAGAGCAATTGTTTTGTATGCATACATTTTTTCTATACACTTTTTTTCTATAAAATGTAGAAATAATAATTTACAGCCTTATTTTGTTTGTGTATGTGTATGATTTTAGATGGTGTTCCTCGGTTTCATGGTCTGTGGGGTCCTCTGTGGCTATGCTGCTGACAAATATGGACGTTGGAAGGTCAGGCGATGTTTCATTTGACGCATAAGTGCTAGAGTGTGGATTTTGGGTAAATTGTTGAAATAAATTAGTTTTTGTGCGCAGGTGGTGTTTGGAGGCTTTATATGGGCATCATATTTTTCTCTGCTGACTTCATTCTCTCCATCGTATGGCTGGTTCATCTTCCTACGCTGTATGGTGGGCTGCCTGGACAGTTATGGAATTAAATCTTTGAAGTCATATACATTTATACATGTATATAAAGTTTTGGCTTTTTGCTAGACTTGTAAGGCATAGAAATGGTGATGTGTGAGTAAATTAATTGGTTCACAAACTGTTTCACAAATAGATTTGAACGATTCATTAGTGAATCAGTCTGAATCAGGATATTTTTTAAATCTTGATCCAGTAATCAACTGGGAATTTCATGGAAATTCATTGATCAAAAACCTTGATTTTCTAGTATGTGTAATAACAGTGATTCAAATGCATTGAATTCTTTTTTCAAATTCTTTATTTTCTTTCCGAAGGTTTGTCTTGAAGACTGAATTCATCCCGGCTAAATACAGAGCGTTTCTGCTGCCTCTTGCCTCAGTGAGTGCAAAATGTAAAGTTATGTTTGACCTTCAACTGGGAACCATTCAGTACTGACCTTACCTGTGATTGGTTGACAGATCTTCTGGATGCTGGGATGCTTATTATTATTCTCGGGATGACGGTGGTGCCCACAATGGGTTGGCGCTGGATGATCCGTTTTTCTATCATCCCCAGCATCATTCTCATTGGACTCTTCATGGTGAGTTTTGTCTAAATGGTGCTGAAACATGCTGAGAGAAATGGAAGTAGATGTTTGTCTTTGACTCACTTGCTTACTCTTTTCCTTTTTTAGTTTATTCCTGAGTCTGCACGGTTCCAGGTCTCAGCAGGGAACATACAAGGAGCCATGTCTACACTTAATTGGATCGCTAGGATGAATGGCGCCACCTTACCTGAAGGAGAACTACGGGAACCTGAAGTGGTGAGTATGAGAAGTTCCTTTTTCTTTATCTGTGTCTTTTATGACTCTTAACAGTTTCAGTTTCAAGCAAAAGTAAATAACATTCAGTACTGACCTTACCTGTGATTGGTTGACAGATCTTCTGGATGCTGGGATGCTTATTATTATTCTCGGGATGACGGTGGTGCCCACAATGGGTTGGCGCTGGATGATCTGTTTTTCTATCATCCCCAGCATCATTCTCATTGGACTCTTCATGGTGAATTTTGTCTAAATGGTGCTGAAACATGCTGAGAGAAATGGAAGTAGATGTTTGTCTTTGACTCACTTGCTTACTCTTTTCCTTTTTTAGTTTATTCCTGAGTCTGCACGGTTCCAGGTCTCAGCAGGGAACATACAAGGAGCCATGTCTACACTTAATTGGATCGCTAGGATGAATGGCGCCACCTTACCTGAAGGAGAACTACGGGAACCTGAAGTGGTGAGTATGAGAAGTTCCTTTTTCTTTATCTGTGTCTTTTATGACTCTTAACAGTTTCAGTTTCAAGCAAAAGTAAATAAAATATAAATCATTTTATATTGCTTAATATCATTTTCAGTAATACATACTGTAGATTGTATTATAAGGATGCTCTGATAGTAAAAATGTAGGACAAAAACTATGAACCAATAATTAATTATTTTCAAACTTGTAAATGACCAATATAAAAAATTTTAATAAATTACAAATAAAAAATGTGAATTTAGGCATCACAGCATAATAATGTAGTATGGAAATTTTGCTCGAGATCACACTTTAACGTTTAATGATCACATTTTCAAGACGAGAAGGGTAATTTAAATACTCAAAAAATGAGCATGCACAATTAAATATACAATATTTACAGATAAATAAAAATATCAGCCAATAACCAATATGGTGCTGATATATTGTACATTATTTTAAAAATATAGACAGACCCATATCCTACACACAGATGTACTTCTTTTTGTAATGTGTAATAACGAAGCCTGATTTCAAAATATATAAATGGTTTGAGACAGTAGGTTTGTATTTTTTCAATGGTTATGAAGTATCTGGCAGTGAAAAAAAGCACTCATCTCTCTCATCTAATGATCATCTTTGCATTTATATGAGTGTAAATGCACTTGAGTGCAAGTAACAGGACTGTTTGTATTCAGACAGAAAGAGGAAATGCTGTCACTCTGATCAGCCCAGCTTTTAGAAGAACATCACTTTTGCTGTGGTACTCATGGTAATGTCTAACACACTCCCCTTTGGTTTGTTTGTTTGGTGTTGTGTGTGTGAAATCAGCAAATACACTTGCTTGGTCACTGTGCTAGATGTGAGACGCATTGCATTGTTCATCCACAGGTTTGTGGCCTCCTTCTCCTATTATGGCTCAGTTCTGAGCAGTTCTGAGTTACTGGAGAAGAATCTTCTGTGCATGACGGATGCTGATCCAGAGCACCAGATCAAACACAACCAGGAGGAGGCGCTGTGTTACTGTATCCCATTCAACATGGCTGATTACCAGACTCTCCTCATCAGCTGTTTGGGCGAGGTGGCACGTGAGTGACCTTTGACCTCTCACTCAACCTGGTTTCACACACTCAGCTTAGTCGAATGTTGAAAGTTGATGTATGTTTTTCCATGTGTTTCCTCTGCAGTCATACCCCTCAATATTGGCTTGTTAAATATATTTGGGCGGAAGCCCAGTATGGCCATACTTCAGGTGCTGTCGGCCATTTTCTTCATGCTTGTTAATATTTGCACAACAATGTGAGTATATTGTTCACTTGTTCTGTAAAATGATTTCAAATGCTTTTCATCGGGGTTATTGTTGTTAACTAAAACTAGAACTATTATTGATAACTAAAACTAGAACCATAAAAAAAGTTTTTTAGTTATTTAAAATAAATGTTAAATTGTGTATATATATATATATATATATATATATACACATATAAAATTTAATAATAATAATTTATGCATTTAGCAGACGCTTTTTTCCAAAGCGACTTACAGTGCATTCAGGCTATACATTTTTACCAGTATGTGTGTTCCCTGGGAATTGAACCCTCAACCTTTTGTG